TTAATTGTTTTTATTTAATATAAGCCTTTTTTATAATTTATATTACTTTAAAAACATTCCTAAATTTAAATTTTAAAAATACTATTATAAATCAATAAATTCTAATATTTTTATAGAAAAATAAATAATTTTTTTTATTATAAAAATCAAAGGTTTTAAAATATTTTAATTATTGAATGAAAATAATGTTTTTCTCTTTTAAATATAAAATTTTTAAAAATTAATATATCAAGAAAATTAACTATTAAATAGCAAATTTTTAAATAAACATATAAAATTATATAAGATTAAATAAATTATTATTTTAGAGTCAAAAAAAAAATATGTAATTACATACATTACAAAAAATATGGATTAAAAAAAAATAATATTTTTTAAATTTATTTAAAAATAATAAAAGTAATACAAATTCATAAAAACCTAATTTTAAATAGTTTTATAAATTTTATTTTAAGTTATTTTTTTTTATTATTTATCTCTTTATTATTAGTTAAAACATAACTTTTTTTTACCTAATAACATTATATAAAATTTTTTATTAAATATAAATGTCTTAAAAAGATAATTTAATTCAATATTTACCCGTTCCTTATAAAAAAAAAAGATTTTATACTTTATAGGATTTAAAATTACATAATACAGCTAATGATTGTTGGATTACATTTTTTAATTAAATATACGACATAACAGCTTTAATATAACAAAACATAAATTGTATATTAAAAAAATAAAATAAATAAAATATTAAAATTAAAAGCACCCTTTATTAAACCTCTTATTGAAGCAGCTGGAAGTGATATTACTTATTGGTTTGACCCGTTATCTAAAGATCCAAGGGTTTAAATTGATTTAAATACTGGATTAGAAAAATTTTATTGTCCTTAAGGTATATTTTTACATATTTAACCTTCTGGACCTGAGAATATAAATTTAGTTGAAGATTTATAAACACCGTTTATTTTTGTTTTTTTTTTATATTTATAAAATATTTTTTAATAATTAAGATGGTGGAAAAATCCTATATTCTTTATAGGAAGATTGACTATTAGAAGTTCAAAAATAAATATTATTAATATGCTCACATAACATGAAGATTTAATTGAAGTTTTAATAATTTATTAAATTTTTAAAAATAAAAAAAATAAAGGTTCCTTGCGAAGAAACTATAAATGAAATTTTAGAAAGATATAAATAAATAAATGCACATGCAGCAAGTTATACTTGGAAAAGACTTGGAAGACCTCTTGATATGGAATTAAACTTAGAAGAAAATAATATTATTGATTAAACTGCAGAATTTGAAAGGTATTAAAAATTTAATATTTTCTTTATTTAAAATAATATGATTAAAATTTATAAAAAAAGACTTGGAATTCCAGAAAACGAATGGTATTGGCCTACTATTCACTTATATTTTAATGACGATTTGACTGTTTTGTGATTTTTATATTTAATAAATATTTATTTTTTAATATATTTAAATAAATATTAAATATTTTATATGTATATATATATATATATATATATATATATTTATATTTATATATATATATATATTTAAATTTTTTTCTATTTAATTTTTAAATTAATCAATATATTTAATTTAATATTATATAATAAATAATATAAAATAAAATAATGGGATCTATCTAAAGTTAAGATGCTGCAGGTCAAATTTACATATAAACAGATTAATCATTTTACATAGCCGGAGACACTGTGACTGGAAAAGTTTACGTCAATCTCTAATAGAATTTTCCATCTAACATTGTAAACTTAAAGATAAAAGGTTACGAGCAGTAATTTATAAAAAAAAAATTAAATAAAAAATTTATTTAGTTCAGATTGGTCAGAAAGGCATTAAAGAACTGTTAGTTATTAAGAAAATGGATAATCAAAAACTCGAACCGAAAACTATTATACTTACCATAAAGGTCGAAATACATTTTTCTGTCATAATTTTCCTCTCTATTCTTGGTAAGATTGTTCTTTTATGCCTGCTGGTTAATATACTTTCCCTTTTTAATTTATTCTATATAATCATCTTCCAGGCACTTATCATGAAAATGGTTCTTATTAGAACATTTAGTATAAATCTAATATAAAATATAAGGTAAAAGCAGAAATTATTTCTGGAAAAAGAAAAATTAAAGATAAATAATATCTTGTGATAAGAGAGCCTTTAAAAAATTTAGTGTAAGCTCAATATGGAGAAGGAACAGTTAAGGTAAATTTATTTAAATACATAAACTTATATATTTATATTATTTTTTATTTAAAATAAAAAAGCCTACAACGTGTTGTTGTATTAGTTAAGGAACTTCAGTTATAAGATGTCATTTTGATAGGAACAGTTACTGTCCTGGAGAAACAGCTTATATATTGGCTGATATAGATAATTCAGAGTGCGATTTGGCAGTAAAGTCACTAGAGTGTACATTCAAAAAAATCCTCAAATTAAAATCTGATTCAGGTCATGAGACTGTAATTATTAAAATTATTTAAATTAGGGATTTCCCAGGATGTCCAGCTCGTTAGACTGCTATGAATGAAAATAGAAGGTAGGCCAGTATATAATTACTAGCTGAAAACGGGACATTAATATAGCCTTCGACTAAAGGCTAACTTGTGAATTGCTAATATTAACTTAAAGTAGAATGTAAACTCGAGGGATGTACCTGCTGTTCGAATGTCCCAGATGTTGAAGTACCTATTTGCCTAGTTTCGCCACCTGCTATTGGTTATGGATAAGTTTAAGCACCTGTCAATTGGAATCCTTAAGTATATGATGTGAAAAATGTAGTTTTTTCAAACGATTATATGTATGCATAATAAGCACCAATTAATAATATGGGAGGTATGAATATGTAATATCCTTAAATGAATAATAATAACTAAATACCTTATTAATAATAGAATTATTAGCCTCAACCTCTTTCTTCATAATAATAACCATTCTAGTAGCCTAGTTAATAATAATAATGTTATTAGCCTTATGCTAATGATTATTCAGCTCCTCAGGCTCAAATTAATGGTACTTAGTAATAACTTATTTAATGAAGGATATTTTTTTTTTATTTAATTTATATTAAATTATTAACAATTTAAAAAAATAATTATTAAATTGAAAATAAAAATATTAATAATTTATAAATTAAATATTAAATAAATTAATTATATACATTTATTCTATAAAATATTTAATAAATTTAATTTTTACGATTTTAATTATTAGAAATTTTAAAATTTCATATATTAAATAAATTAAACATATAAAATTTTTTATTATTTATTTTAAGAAAATATTTTTATTAATTATATTTTTTATAATATAAAAGAATATAAAAATTTATATATAAATATTAATATAAATTATTTTATTTTGTTTTTTCTTATTTATAATTTTTTGCAAATTATATTAACTTTATCTTCTACTAATAAATCATAATCTCAAGCGAGTTGATATCAAATTAAAAGTTTTAATGAAGCAATCCATAAATATTTTAAAATATATATACTTAATTATTTTTTAATTAATTATTTTAAATTATATAATTATTTTAAATTAAATCTAAATTTGTTAATGCTAACAATAGTAATTATAAAAAACTCAATACTTTTAAAAAATGATATACTAAAATTAATAAATATTTTTTAAAACTAACATTTTTTATATATAAAATTATTTAAATATATGTTATAATTTAATTTCTTTGTAAATTATATATATATTAATAGTTTATTCTATTATTATAATATTTTTTTTTATTTAAATATTAAATATTATAAAATTAAATTATATAAATTAAATTTTTTACTATTAATAAAATAAAAATAAATAGAAAGGTCCCACTGGGATTCGAACCCAGGTCAAGGGATTTAAAGTCCCCAGTACTAACCACTATACTATGGAACCAATTTATATGATATTTTAAGAGTATTTATTTGGTAAACATTATATTAAAATCTTAATTAACTAATATTTAAACCAAATAAAAATAATATATTTAATAATTTGAATAGAAAAAATAAAAAAATAATTATATATAAAATCTATATGTAATAAAATATATTTTATAATTAAATTAATAATATGTAAATTTTTAATATTTATTTAACATTCATTAACAAGAAAAAAATATAATTTTTATAAAAAAAAAAAAAAAATTAATATTATTTTATATGTAAATATAAAATTTAAAACAATTTATATAAATAATATATAAATATATGTTTTTATTATATAAAAAAATAAAAAAATATATATATATATATTTATTTAAATAAATAATATTTATTTTTATTATATATTTATTTACATTATATTTTTAATTTATTTTTTATATTTATATAGTATTAATTAACTTTTTATAGACATATAAAAAATACTAATTTATTAAAATTTACATTAATATTTTTACTTCATTATAAATATATTAAATTTTTTTAAAATAATTATTTTAAAAAATTTGTATCTTTTTTTTTTTTATTTTTATATATAACATTTATTATTATATTAATTGTGATAATTATAAAAACATATGATATTTAGTATTTTTTATTTTCAAATTAGAAGTAATTTATCTAATTTTATTAGATAAAATTATATTAAAATATATTTTAAGATAATAATATTTTTTATTTTATATCTGAATCAATAAAATAAGTTGCATATTTGATATAAAAAAATATCATTTTTATTATTAAAAATGATTTTTTAGATATACTTGTTAGATATATTTTTAAAATATCTAGTACAATCTTTTAAAAACTCAATAAACAGAAATTATTAATGATACAAAAACGTATAATTTTTTTTTTTTTTTTTTTTTTTTTTTACAAAGAAAATATATAAATCACAGTATTATTTTTTGAAAATTTACATAAAGATGCTTTTTTTTTGAAGAGTTGGATTAATAATAATTAAATAATAAAATTATTATTATTTTTTTTAATAAAAAAATGTTATATAATTTAGGCTAATTTTCAAATTATTTAAAGTCTATTTAATTTATTCAGATTATAAAAAAAATTTATTTAAAGAAATTAAAATATAATTTTTTTATTTAATAACTAAAAGTTTTTAAAAGTTAAATTCTTTTTTTATATATTAAAAGATTTAATGAAAAAAATATATATTAATTAATTAATAAAATATATTAAATATAAAAGTTAAAATATAAAAAATATTAAATATCTTATAATTTAATAATAATATATAGTAATATTACTATTATTAAAAAAATAAATATATAAAATGTCTGAAAGTGAAGAATCTGAAGAAATAGAGCAAAATATAATATAAGAAAATATATCTATATTTAAAAAAAGACTCAAAACATAAAACGAAGTTGAAGAATAAATACCAATTTAAAATTTGAAAAAGTTAAACAATATGTTATCTTGCCCTATATGCTTAGATTTATTTTAAGAGCCTGTATATATAAAAGGCTGTTCTCACAGATTTTGTAGAGAATGTATAGAAAAGGCAATAAGATCAAGCTAAAAGAAATAATGCCCTAATTGTAGAAAAATAATAGGAACAAAAAGGTTATTAAGAGAAGATTAAAATATAGCAAAAATTATAGAAGTTATTTATGGGGATGTAAAAGAATATTTAATATAAAAATAAATCAGTGATGAATTAGTTTTAAGCAAATAACTATAATTGAATAAAGAATTAAAATTAAATTTATATTAACAATAGAATAAGTTTATATTATAAAGGGCGGAAAGTGATAATAGAAATAATAAAAGAGGCAAAGTAAGGAGAAAATTTAAAGAACATAATTAAATAAATGAATCAATAAAAGAAAATTAATAAAATTTTAACGAAAAAAATATTAGCAGTAATAATTAAAAAATGAATGGAAATCAAAATAATCTTTATTAATTTAATAGTAATAATAATTAGAATTCTTAGTAAAATAATAACTCTTAAAATCTTACTAATTATAATGAATACAAACATGTAATTTTGAGTAAAAGAAGATATTAAGTTTTTAATGAAAACTCGTTAAATATTAGATTATTAAAGCTTAATAAGTCTAAACAATTACATAGCCTTACACATATTCATAATGATTTTTTGGATCAAATTTAATTTGTGGTTTAGTTAAAAGTTATTCCGTTTGATGTCCTTACAAATTTATATGATTTTAATTTGTCAAATATTGATATTAAGTTTAAGTTAAGTGATTTATCATAGATTTTATTAAATAAACTTAAGCTAACTTATTCTAAATATAATTAATATTTGAAGTTTTATTTGCTTTCTTAGAAATAATAATAAATAAATTTCTAATATTTATCAGATAAAGAAACTTGCTTGAAATAAGTTATTGAATATAATTATAATAATATTCTTAATTTTTATAATAATAATAATAAAAACGTAATCACTGTTTATTATATGATTGAATTAAAAAATAGTTATTTAGTTTCATGAAGGTTTTTATATATTATATAATTATATATATTTTTTGATTAAAAATTTATTATTTATTAAATTAATTTTTTAAAAAATATATATATTTTTTTTAATTTAATTAAATATTAATTTGTATATTAAACATATTTATTTAATTTAAAATTTATTATTATAAAAATTTTTGTTTAATTAAGAATTTATTAATATGTTATCACTTTTTTAATAAAATAAAAATTTATGTAAATAATTACTTAAAAATTATTAAATATTAAAAAAAACATGAATTAATTACTTTGATTTAAATTAATATAAAAAATCTATAAATTATTATATATATTTAAATATATAATTAATTATTTTAATTATTCACAATTATTTAAATACATTTTATAATAAAAATATAAATAAGTTAAAAAATTATCGAATAAAATCTGTATTTTACATACTCATATACATAAATTTTCCAATTCACAGGGGCCTATATTTTTATGCATTTCATTAGAAACTTGAAAGTAAAGAAAAAAATGAAAATTCATATATAATTATGGGTATAAAAGCAAACAAATAATTCAAAAATTAACATAATTATTAAAATATTAATAATAATTCTTTAAATTTAGAAAAATACAAATTTATTTACTTTTTCAAAAAACAAAAAAAAAAATATTATAATTTATATTATCGTAAGTATTTGTAAAAAAACGCAAGAAATTCGAAAAAAGTGTATGTGTGTTTTATTAAATATATAATATTAAATAAAAGTATAATATTTTAATAAAAAAAAATTCTTTTATAAAAATAGATAACTTAATTATTAATTAAAAAAATTTAAAAATAAATAATATATATAATTAATATTTCTTATAATAAAAATAAAAAGATAAAAATTGTATTGTAAAAATAAAAATAAAATATAATTATTTATATATATATATATATATATATATATATATATATATTTATTAATACATTTCGTTTATTTTTATTTTTTTTAGCCATTCTTTTATATTTTTATTTTATAACTTATTGACAGAAATCCTATATTTTTATTATATTTGAATTAATTTTACTTTTAACATTAATAACGATTATTCTTTTATATTATTTTTTAATAATAATCATTTTAATAATTTTGAAATTAATTTAAATTTAAAGTACTAGTTTAATTTGATATAATTTTTTCTTAACAAGTATAAAATTTATATTTATAATATTTATATATCTTTTGTTTTTTTTTCTAATTTTTTTTTTTCTGATTTTTCTTTTACTTTATTTTATTCTTTTTTTCTTCCTTAAATCTAATAGTTTTTTTTTATATAAAATAATAATTTTTATATTATTTTATGTTTTTAAATTTCTTAAATATTTTTGTCTATTTAATATTAAATAAATATATTATGATAAAAAATTTTCTTGTAGATTTAAATATGCTTTCCCTTTTTATTCAATTTAGTATATATTAAATCTTTAATATTTATATATAATTATGTTTTTTTTGATTTTATAATAACTATATTTTATAATAACTATATTTTTATAATAATAGATATTCAAAGTATAGATAAAATCATCAATTTTTTTTATTTTTATATATATATTTCCATTATAATAATTTCATATTAATATTTAT